CGAGTGATTCACTCCAAATGGCAGCTCCAAAACCCAAGTTCTCATTTTTGTCCCAATACGAAGCCAATGTGCAAAACAGGCAGAGAGCAAACTGTCCTTTTCCGAAGGCCTCTAAAAGTTGTTGCCAAAGAATTTCACAGGGAAGCCAAAGAGATTTAGTGTGTATTCACCTCTCCTATAAATCTAATGAGAGCGCCTTCTAACTAGAGCGCTGAACCAATCGCTGATTTACACTTGCTTGAAGACCACCCAGGGTACCTAAGGATTTTTTCCCTGGCAAGCAAGAGGGACCCTTTGTCCCATCACATTTTCCAAATGACCAAACAACCACAGAGAAAAAGTACAGCGGTTGTGTGGTGAGTGTATGTGTGTGCCTATTCACTGCTTTTCTGCTAACTCTACAACTCGCTCCTCCCACCCCTTTCCCACAGCTGTGTTAAAATAAGTGCAATATTTTGAGAAGACTGAATGCTTTTTAAAATTAAAAATTTCACGCGTTGAAAAGGTCGAACAGTAGTGCAGAGTGCCTCGCCTACACTACTTCCTTCAGGAGCCCTGTATCTAATCTTGCATTCCTAGCTTATAGTCTTCTTAAAAGTGATTCCCCTGCCCCAACTGTAATGAGTTTCAGAGCATCACATGATCTGGGTGCACTTCTGCACACTTTGAGGATGTCACAATTTGTTGGGTCAGCAGGCATGCAGGTAACAGCCAAGCAGCCAGGTATCCAGAGAGCACTGGTGAGTATAAGTAACCTTGCCTTGGAGGATTGGGAAAGACTTCTCAGAACTGATCTCAAAGGATGAGAAAGAGTAATAGGCAGAGGATGAGGGCAGAGATGAGGGTAGGAAGAAGATGTTCCAGGCAGTGAGAACAGCCCAGGGTAGTGATCCTCAACAGGGGTTATTTTGCCCCCTTGCCCATCTAGGGTAGTGATCCTCAACAGGGGTTATTTTGCCCCCTTGCCCATTTGGCAATATCTGGAAACATGCTGTCATCAATGGAAGGGGAACAGTACTACTGATATCTACTGGGTAGAGGCCAGGGATGCTCCTAAGTACTCTAAAATGCACAGGAAGCCTCCACAACCAAGTATTGGGTTGCTGGAAAAGTCCTGGCTTATTTTGTTCTATGCAAAAATGTGTCCTGACTTTTCCGACAACCCATTATTATCTACTCCCAAATGTCAATAGTATCATGGCTGAAAATGTATTGTTACGTAAACATGAGAAGTTGCATGTTACTTTGGAAAACACAATGTTACAAATGACTATTGAAAAGTCATTAAGAGGAAAAATTAAAATTCTAAGTAGTCAAGGTAAAAGGCTGAGCAGAGGCCTTGTTCTCTGAATAGGAACTACCACCAACAAAGCAAGGAGAGAACCCATGGAAGCCTAACGTAAGTCTCACTGTCCTGTGAAATGGAAAGCACATCTCTCGGGGACGCCATCCTCGGCCTGAGTCCACTCCCAAGCAGTGGCCTGCGCTCTTTCTTTTGCTCTGATGGCTATGGAAGATGAAGCACAATGAGGAACAGCTGTTCCATGCAGCTCACGCTGGTGGAACTCTCAATCAGCAAGGGGGTACGAGGCAAGCATTAATACTGGAAGAACTTTCCTATAAGAGCTGCCCAAGCAAGGAGAAAAGGAACCAAAGGGCTCTGAGGTCCAAAAAGGAAGTGGCAACAAAGAAAGGAGAATGTGGCAGAATGTGGACCCTGTGGTTTTGGTTGCAAGTGGTCATTAAGGCTATTGGCAGGAGCCAGGCCAAACCATCAAGGCAGGAGGTGCCTGTGCAGGAATCTTACTCTGGGCACAGACCCTCGCAAATGGAGGAGGAGCTTACCACCACAGCCCAAGCCACCAGAAACTCCATGTCCACCAAAAAGGAAGAAAACAGGACCCTCCCTGGTGGTGCAATGGGTTGAGGCGCAGTATTATGAGTACTATGAGGCTACCACAGTCACTGCATCACGAGTTCAATCCCTGGCCAGGGGGTGGCCCACATGGTGCAGCAGATCTCTCCTGACCTGCTTGCTGCTTCCCTCAGCGGTATGTTTCACTGCATCTGCCTGTTTGGCTCTCCACTCTGTCACTGGTGAATCCTCTGGCCCCCAACACCTCTGGCCTGTACCCCAGTTCTGTATGCATAAATAAATAAATCTTTAAAAAAAAAGGAAGAGCATAACTAGAATAATTTTCCCCCATCAAGACACTATAGGGAAAGACACAGCTTGCAAGAGACTAGCAGTTACTGTAAGAATGGCAACAAATATAAATTGAAACGCCTCCTCAAATACACTAACACACTAATCCACATCATCCCCTTAATCTTGTCTCATCTGGACCCACACGCACATACACCTATAGCAATTAAGAACAATAAACACAGTAAGAGGTTTGACATTAGTTACAGCAGCTGTCTAAAAAAAAAAAAAAATCAAGCTTTGGTTCTCAAAGGGGAAAGGCGGCCAGAATAGTATTAAGAAAATAATTCTAAACAGGCAATATCACAAAGGCTTCAAAAAAAAAAAAAAAAAACAACTGAGACACTGCCTTTTGTTTCTCTACACATATCCACAAAAAATGCTACTTTCACAAAGGTATACTGCATGCCCAGCATGGTTAGGGGCTACTGTCCAAAGAATCAAAATTGGATGATACGGACCCCTGAAACAGGTGCAATCTGAAGTGCCTAATTGGTGCGTTAGAAGCCATAAAAGAAGGGGATCTTAAAAAACATCTAGGTGGAAAGCAGGGGATCGGATACTGCAGACAGGAGGGTGAGACGGGGCCACAGCTTGGGGAAGGCAGGAATGATGGTACTCACAGAAACAGATCCACTTGGAGACAGAATAGACTCAATTTCCCCTACATAAAACCAGACTGGCCCATCCACCCATGTTTTGCAAGTGAATACACTGCAGGATTACATAACAGCACCTGGATCTGCAGTGGGTTTCCAGTCACCTTCCCCCAAATGAAACAAATGCCCAAGGGTTGCCAACAGCATGAACCCAGAGCTCATACAGCGAAACACTAAAACAGTCTCAAGGAGTTCCAAGTGATTGGAAATTCAAACTCTCAGAGAAAGAACTGCTTTCTCCCAGGTGAGAATATACAGCTGGAGAAGAGGCTGCTACTGTTTGTAGGGACTGTGTTAACACATAACAAGAAGCAACTACTCCCACCGTATAAGTAAATCATGAAGAGTTACTGAACCTGTGCACAATGAGAGTTGCAGCCAATTCTCAGTCATTAAGTACACAGATATATATGCACAAATACATGCACAAATCTTAACATCCAGGCCCTTCACTGACTTTGTGATTGGGTGTAAAGGTAGATCCAGAAACCTGGGCATTAGCCAAAGGTCATGCAAATGAGACTGGTAATCTTATCCATCCTCTGCAACTTCTGCCCTCTACTAAGATTTTCCTGAGCAGCTCTCCCACCTTGGAACTTTCAGAACAATTAGTCTGTATAATTACTCAGTAAAGAATCACCTGAGTTTTCAAAGGTTTAACTATTCTGCAGTTTTCCTGACTTACTATTTAAGCCACTAGAAATAGTCAACTTTTCTCCCTATTTTCACTCACACAACTCTGTGAGAAGTGCATAAATACCTTATAGTCACAGGCAGAATTAAATCGCAAAGTTCTCTCTGTGCATATAGGAGTTAAGTTAGGCTCACTTTAACAATCTCACACACAGAGTCTTTGCAACCAAATATATGTGAAAGCAAAACAGGATAGAAGTGCTGAAAAATCTTGGAGACTCATTATTTTACTAATTAGGAACCTCCTACAGCTGACTAGCCAAAAGTCAATTTGCAGTGGACAGGTGTGAAATTCAGGTCTCTGCTTCTGTCCCATGCTCTAGGAGATAATGAGGTTGGTCAAGAGCAGATGAGCATTTCTGCAATTTCAAAGGTTAATACTGAGAAGGTGTTAAGTGCCCAAAAGAAATGATTTTCACTTTATAAGCAATGGGAGTGATATTTATAAACCTTACAAAAAATGAGGTGAAAACTCCAGGATATATGTGAGCAGTGCACGCGCGCGTGCGCGCGCACATACACACACACACACACACACACAGTTATTTTGAAACTCCATTTACTGTAATTTTTTTAAGTCAAAGCACTAAAGCTCTGCTTACATATTATTTTGTCAAAAGTGAGGAGTCACATAAAGAAAATGCTCTAAAACAAATCTGTCTTTGAGCCCATTTTGGGGATTTGAGTTGTAACTACATTTTCAGGGATACAAGGGCTCCATCCATAACTCCTTGAAAAAATTGAAACCATGAATGCCTTGTCAAATTCAGACAGTTTATCTTGGCACTGGCAAGCAGAGCAGTCTCTTCGATGTCTGGAAACGTGTCTAATTACGTTTCGAGAGTAACTAAAAAAAAAAAAAAAAAGCCAGCGTCCCGGAACAGACAGCTCAGAGATCACTCATGGCATCCCGAATGACATGATGGAACCACGCCAGGAAAAAAGGAGAGAGAAAGAAAAAGAAAAGCAAGTGTGAAGCGGGATGAGCCCCAAGCCTCTCTCCAAAATAAGCCTTCAGTCTTCCCAGGGCTTTCCGGGCTCCCGGGTCTCCCTAGTTTTTATTTTCCTTCACTTTTGTTTCCATTCGTTCATCTGGCTCGCCCACATCACTCACCAGGGGCAGCGCAACAACCTGAGGTGCCCTAGAGCCGCCTCCAACTCGGTTCAACCCTTACACCTCCGTCCAGACAGCACCCAGGAACAGCCCCCGTAAGGAAAACAGCTCGACACGCCCCTCACTTCCAAGCAGCCGCGCCCCGGGGCGTCCCCTCCCTGGAAAGCGCGACCAGTGAACTCAGCGGACCCCGGGACACCCCAACTCCTCAGCGCTCCATCCCTCAGCTCGGTGCGCCCCTGACACCCTATTCCCGCCGCACCGAAAGGGCGCCCCCTCTCGGGCAAGCGCAGCCTCGCCCCGCGGCGCACAGTCGCTCCGCCCTCACCTGAGTCGGAGGTTGGCCATGAACTCGGGCATGGAAACGTTGTCCATCAGCACGAAGTCCGCCTTGCCGAACTCAAGGCTCTCCTGCTCCGCCATGGCGCCGGCGCACGGGCTCAGGTGG